AATTCGAGTTTTTGTCACCGGTAGGATTCGAACTTTTGACTTGCCGCTTAGGGGTGACAACTTGACCACTTCACTAAATCGCCACACCCCTAATTTAAGATAATTTCAATTTCTTTAATATCATCATTGTTATTAATTTTTAAGTTTTGTTCTGTAGTATATTGTTTGCAAAGACTTGAATATAATGAAATGTCTGGAGAAATATTTGATAATTTATTTATAGTTGTTGGAAAATGGTAATCTTTGTCACTATCAAATAAATAAGTTAATGCAAATGAAGTACTATATCACCGAAGGAGATCTAGTTCAATATTTTTGTAATTAGTATGTGGTACTATATTTTTGTATATTCTGTGTACCATTTCTTTGACTCCAACAGATGTATTTACAAGAGTTGCAAATATACGAGCATATTGTAGCAAATGGATATTTACATGAATATTAGGTAAGTTTTCAAATATGTCTGGAAAAATCTTCAAAAACCAATTCGTTCTTTTTTAAACAAACTGCAAAGCTTCTTATAAGTGTCATTTGTCATTGTTGTTAAGAAAACCAACTTAAATAGTTTTGCTTTAACTACCCAAAGTTCTATTAGTTTAATAATAGTATGATCATTATGAGTAAGCTTATATATATTTTTTTAAATGTTCAATTATTTTAGTCTTTAAATATGAAAGTGATAAAAAGTAACATAGAATAAATGGCATTAATATTGCCAGGCGTAAAGTATCTGAAAATATAAAACTATGACGATGGGTTAGCAGATTTGGCATCCATGACTATCTTGCTGGTTTTTTGATACTTTTTCAATACTTAAGCCAAGCTACTTCTTTATTAGTATTTAAATATCTAAGAGTTATATCTAGAAAATATGTAGCTTTATCAGCAAGTGCATGATAAGCATCTTGTGGTGATTGTAAATGTCTGTTCCAATAAAGAGTTTCAAGAACTGGCTTTGCACTAAGTTCATATTGACTAGATAGTTGTCGATGAGCAGAGTTTGTTTGTTGCTGTACAATTTTATTATATTGTATATTGGTTAAGTGGTAAAAGCGTGCATTCGCAATAAAGTTCAAATTAGAGTTTGTTAATTGGCTACTAGATACAAAACAAGTTCTGCAACCATAATTTGCATTATGTCTAAGCACACTAGCAAGGTTATTACTTTGGGGCAAATCGGCTATAATATAGCCAAGTCTACCAATAAGCTATATTTCTCTTTCCAAAGTATTTATAATTTTTTCAAATTGTAATTGGTAAATATTATCAAGAATTGGTTTAATAAAATCTTTAAATAAAGCCCCAAATAGAACAAAGCCAAGTAGAAAATGATTTTTGAGTAGCTTTTATAAATCAAGTGGCATATTTCCAATAACTAAATAAACCCCTCCTAATAAATAATATAAATTACAAAATGTTCCAAAATCATTGAAATAGATATCAAGAAAAACCTTTTTAATAGGTATTGGTCATGGTATTAATAGTAAAATAGATATATATTTATAAGGAGCTCTGCGCTTTTTAGTAAGTTCACGAATATATCACCGACTATTAAAACTATATAATATTTTAGTTACAAAATATTCATATTCTACTAGCCTATCAAGATCCTTTAGCCAAATATTAATTTGAGTAATATTTTCAGGTATAATCAAATACTTTGTCCTTCAACAAGCCAAAGTTCTTCCATATTCATTCTATATGCTTTTCTATTCATATTATACAAGTGTCCAGGAAGCCCACTATATAGAACAAGTAGATCAGCTCTAAGTAATTGACTCTTATTAACTTTAACAACACTACGAATACGTGCAAACTTAATTGTTTTGTCTTGGTGATAACGTAAATATTGTCTGCTTGATAAGTAACTAATAAAAAAAAGACTAATTAGTATGGTAAACCAGAGTACTAAGTTTTATTATTGCTAAAATAAAAAAAACTGCTAACTATTATTTATACAAAGTTTAGTTTCTCTAAATAAAAGTGAGTCCTGCCAGAGTGTACTATACTAGAACTCACGTTTTTCATTATATATAATACTAGGGCCAAAGTATAAATTAGGCGCAATTGTTGGATTATTAAGAATATATTCAATATAATCTACTGGCATTATTAAATATGCAGATTTGGTTGAAGCTGAATTTGATAGGGTATGCTATCTAGAAATTGGAACTGTATAACTCCAAACCTTGAGCAATGGAAGTCTATTTCTCTATTTGCAAAAACGTTTTATATTTGCAATAACATGTTCAGGCCAAAAATCTAAATGTTTAAGAATTTTGACAAGGTCTTCGTAGGCTGCAGTGGAAATCATATGCTCTGTAATCTATAAAAAGAGCATAGTAGATGTAAAATTTGGAAAATACAGACTGTATTTCTATTAAATCTTTCAAAAGATTGTGATTGGCTCTCAAATAGTTTGTATTTTTAGGTATTCTGCTCTGTATTATTATCTGAATTTGTTAAATCATTATCATTATCTTGTAAATATTTTTCGTAATCCTCCAAATTGTCCAAAATTATATAATCATGTAAATATTCTGTCTTATTATCCTCCCAATCTATATTGTCAAGTAATTGCTCTTCCTGATTATTCTCATAATTATGTAAAGAGTCTTCTTCATTAATAACCCAATCTATATCTGATTTACTTGAACTTTCACTAGAATATTGATCTAATTCATTTGATTTATTTGAGTATCGTTCTGAATTGCTTAAATTATTTGAATATTCATTTAATTTTTCTGAATTGCTTAAATTTGAAAATTTATCTAATTTGTTTGCTGATAATTTATAAGTAATAGGCAAGGAACTT